TTGTTTGTATTTGGTATATGCGGTTTGTCAACTTGCTTTTTAGCTTGTAGATATCCAGATGGTTGTGAAGCCCAATATATGCCCTTCTTCTCGTGCTTAGGTCTAGTAAAGCGCTCCTCCAATTTTGTCGTATATAATGTGATCAACTTGGTGCTCTGTTTAAATGTCTGGTGAGACCCATGTAGTTTGGTGGCCGGAAGATATGTTTTTCAAAACCAAAATATGTGTTCTATCCAAAGAATAGACGAAGCAAAATGATTTATGTATCTTAACTGTGAAAAAAATTACTGGTCTATATATCTTGGAAATATGTTAAATATTAGAAATAATAAAAGAAATACAGGGACACTGATTATCACTAATACAGATCTGTTTTCCCTGGGTTAGAGCAAGCGTATTTTTCATCTCTCAAAAGTGTAGTTTGGGGGTGATTTGATTGCAATCAAAATACATGTTGTGTAAGGAAATCCATTCAAGTGCGTATTTAAGGTAACACAGTTGATATACAGAATATAGTACTGCAATTAGTTTCTTTTGGATGGGAATATGTCTTCGGCAACCACATTGGCAGTTAAGTATTAACAACGCAATTCTCTAAAAGATAATATTCTGGTTGGTTCAATGCGATCGAGACCGCAAATAGTGATTACAGTTACAGTTATTCTTATTCGATTGATTACAGTGCAGCTAAAAAAATGTGATAACTTTTTACTGGAAACACACCAGTCTTTCTTTTTTTAAATAAAAAATAATCCCAACAAACGAGAAAATAAATAAATCTAGAAACCGTAGCTTTTAAAACTCGTCGAAGTGCAATAGTCTTAGGCGAACATCTTTACTATTTTCGCGAAAGCGTAGTGTAGACAGATCTGCTAGTAGGAGATTTTGTGATTGATTTTATAAGGTGAAAATTTCCCGAAAAATCTGTTTTCCTTCCTAACTCTCACTGGTGTGTTGATGCAGGAAATCAGTGCTGTGCTACAAAAATTTGATAGCCCTTTGTTTTTATCTCTGTTGAAATGGAATGAGACCGAGGAATGTTAGCAAATATGTTCAGTAAACCTATCTAATAATATTTTATCTGTCTCCCCTAAACAACAAGATCTAAATCTACGGCACAGTATCGCATAAATCACTTTTCGGCTAACACATGTGCAGTACTCTTTGATGGTGAAAAGTACCCTTAGTAAGGCTAGCATCTCCCCATTTACTTTCATGTTGTTCGGTCCGTGTGTGTCCATTGCTTTCTCTGTCAATTTATTGTCCTTTCCATGTTTACCATACATATATCCCCAAAGAATTAACACATGGTTTTTGGTACATTTTCAACTAAACTTTTAGGTTCTTAATAAATGTAACTTTATCTTCTTCATGTGCAAATTTTGTTGTGGCTTACCACTTGATGTTATGTACATTATGGAATCTTGACATGAATTTGTCCTTGATAATTTGTTATAAAACTAGTTTCCATTAAACGAGACTTTCAGTGCATCTTGTTTTATAATAGTACACCTCAACTGTTATGCGTGTCTTCCTCCTCTTTCATCTCAAAGGAAGAGCTTAGTTTCAATTGTGTAGCCTAGTGTCCCGAAAGTGATATATCGTATTTCGCATGGATCCAAGTTTGTAGTTTATAATTTCTTCAGCGACTTGGGCGTATGTATCTTGTATTAACTGGGTTAGAATATTCAATGTTCTCAATTTTTTATTACCTTTTTTTGATAAGAAAAGTTGTGTTTTTTTATCGGCTTGATTTAGGTTGCCTTGCATGGTTCTTATTACTTTCCCCGCACAGCTTCATTGATGTACTTGTAGAGTCCCATCTGCACATCTGACTATGTTTGTTTTGTGGATTTGCTTTTCTTCTGCTTTCTGTAACAAAGGAATTTTTGTAAGCACAAATGGTTAGAATCTCGCACTACCTTAATATCTGGGAGAGAGAGGTGAAGAGGATGAAGCATATTTTATCTTGACCCTTTCTTAACAGACTTGTCCTGCTTGGCTCCAGGTGACATTGGGACACGCAACCTGTAACACGACAATAAGATATGTACATCCAGTAGCCGTAACTTGCAACTAAATGCTTCAATTGGCACTTCTCATCATTAGTAATACAAAACTAGTTAATAATATGCTTGTTTGAAAGTGTGATATCCAGGAATCAGAAGATTTTCCCCAGAAGACCTTTTTATATTACTGTCCTGTATCCCGGTTGAAAACAATTAATTATTAATTTAAGCTATGGCAGCATACATTACTACAGGTGATAAAGTAAATGTGCACTCTGAACTCCAAAGTGTTTGAGTGAATACATGAAAGATATTAAACTGTCAACTGCCTTTTAATATTGGGGAATATAGATAGTCGACATTGAATTCATTTTACCTGAACCTTTGAGATATTCGCATAGGTACTCTTCTTTTAAGTGTTGTACACACATTATGCTTTCAAAGATAACGTGAAACCCAATTCGTTATTTTAACCTGCAGAAAATTAACTGAATATGTTCAGTAAGGAAATGGCATTCTTTATTCCCAAGTCTTATTACAGATGGCAGGACAATAAACAACGGAGCGCTAAATGAAATAATTTCATTGTTATAATTATTATTATTATTTAGAAATTGCAATTGAATTTTCAAACAACTATGAAAATAGTTTGCGTTAGAAGTTGTCAAAATGTTTGTGAAATGATGATTTAACTGTAACTATAAACTGATTAGCCAATAATATATCATAGGAGTCGCATGCATCGCTGATTATTATTTATTAAAAGGAGTGACTGGTTAAGACAACTTGTTTAATTTTAAACATTGAAAAACAGTTCTTACAAGTTAGTATTATTTTTAAATCTCCTACACCAGATAGCAACATTAAAATAGTATAATTTATTTTATTGTTTTTCTTATCTAGAAAAAAGATCTCTTCCATATGTGACAACTGTTTTAGGAGAAGATGTCCTGCAAGACTGTTCTTCTCTTGTTTATTTCTGTAATAGGAAAAAATATTGGTAAATATATTTCATTTAATTAATACTTATATTTAAGGTTAATTGAACTCTATAAGTGTTTGCAACACAATTTTTATTTACGCCGACATTATATTCCTTCATTGGTAACAGGAGAATTTAATCTTTTTCTATATATTAAGGTACCACGATCAATGGTTTGGTCATTATGGCTCCAATATTATAATTTCCTAAACTATTTAAATCCCAGATGGATAATAGAATCCATTATTTAAATTATTTATTGCGAATGTCATTTAAAATAATGAGAAAATCCACTGTAGAAAGCTATATGATTTTTTAAAGGTTTTTACATTCATGCATTTTAGAAATGATGCAACATTTTTATGCAATAAAATTGAAATATAAGATTTGAATATTAGAACAACGGATCGCAGTCAAACACTCTTATAATGTATTCGCGGCTAATTTATGTTTCATTTTGTATGTTCTACAAAGCTGTTGAATTATTTTTTTTTAACGTCCCAGGTGGATTAGATCAAAGTATTGCTGTCTTTTGCGATAACCAAATGTATTTATCCCTTGACATTTTTGAAGTATAATGTAAAATAATAGGCAACGTATTAAAAATGACGTATAAACGATGTGCGGTAAAGCTGAAGATCGACTAGTAATCACAACACTACGGATGCCTTTGTCTTTCAATTATCCAAATTCATTGATTGTAAGAAAAACTGTCTGTTGTAAAAGGAAGGTGTATTTTAAATACTTTTTTTTCTCTTTAAAACTTATTGCTAGTCAATATAAGTACATTTTCGGTTAAATAAACCTAATTGGCAGACCCCTGTTTTGAGACATACAAAAGACAATATGCTGCAAATGAACCGTATTTCTAAAACACTGGAATTAATCAACACGTTCTGACCAAGACTCCGTTATGTTTTAAATAACAGTTTTAATCAATGTGAAAATTCCATTAAAAATTTATGTGATGAGCTAAGACAGCACAATGATCTTTTCCAGCATGTTCTAATGGATGGTTTGGATCACAATGTCAGTTCCAGTGTCACTGTACTAGCAACAATTGTGACATGAATGGGACGTGTTCCGAAAACTCTTATTGTCTTAATGAATGGTTTGGACCTTCGTGTCAGCTCCGTAAGACTCTTGAACTTATGAAGAAGTGATTGTTAAAATATTTTATTTGATACTATTGTCTTATACTAAATAAATAAATAGTTGTCCATTATCTCCTTTTATCTCAATGTTTTTTAGTATATTTTTTTAAAGATGAAAAAAAAGGAGAATTTCCCACATATTGAACTATAATTCGGCTTTACAAATTTCAGAAAACCTAGCGATGGTGTACACTACGACAGAGAAAATACCATCCTTTGTTTTTGATGGTGATGAAGCCACGTGTAATTCTGTTAATCCACAAAAAATTGCAGTCGCCTGGAATATTTCCTATGTTTTCCCGTTTTTGAGAATCAAGCTAAAACAAAAAGGTTATTTACATTAACTAACAAAGATAAACGCTTTTTTACTACAGCTGTTTTTTTGGGGGGGGGTTTATTATCTTGCAATTTTCGTAACTGAAGTAAATGCTTATGATAAAGATTGACAGTTTTGTTATATTTAATAATCTCTCTCATTTTTTTGTTCCTAAAGTAATATTGCAAATCCTAATTTTCTAAGAACTGAAGAAAAAAAAAATAACACGAAATATTATCCATTTGTTTAAAAAGTATGCCAAATCAAATTATTCTAAAGATGAGTACCATAACATCTTTTACATCAGTATTCGAGTAAGACATTTTTAAGCCAAGATCAATCGATCAATCATACTGATTAAATATTTTTATCAGAAATTTGACATCTGTTTTGTAAAAGACACTAGTTATATGAACCATTATAAAAACCTAAGAGTTCTATTTTAAGTTGTAATTTCAACTTTTTTAAATTTCAACTTACAAAAAAGAATAGTTTTTCTTCTTTGAAATATTTAACATATCCTATATGAATTTTTTAATAACAAACAGCTAGAACAGATGTGGCAGAAGGTCTCCAGATAACCATAACAACCTACAATGACACCAGCTTCAAGGTATCATACATTACAGACGAATTGATTGATATAATATTTGACAAGGAAGTAACTGCCCAAAGAATACGCATAACAGGATCATTGGTCGAGTCGATTTGTGAGGTCTACATCAGTGGGGGTAATCCATTTTTTTTTCATCTTAAAATGAATAATTGTATCAATAATATATGAAAACCGTTGATTTATCGCAAGCTTCTAATTTATTCGAAAAATTAAATCTATTGTTTCTTCAATCACATATACCTTTTATTTTGCTTTTTTCAACTTGAACGCATACATAACATTAATAACAAAAATTGACACAGATGTTAACGTCAAAAGTATTTTGTATTTATTTAATTTTTTCACTATAATTATTACTAATTGTGTCTTGTGATGTTTAAATATGCCTTTGTATTTGATTTTTAACAAAAACTACCATTAGAATTGTTATGTGTATGAATTCTTTTTTTTTTTTTTCTTTTAAATATATTATTATTATTACCTTTTTATGTTATTGTAGGTAGCAATGTTGCAATTCAGAAAAATGCAACCCAGTCGGGTATATTTACAGAGAAAGATTATTTTTAAATATTCCTTTGTATTTGATTTTTAACAAAAACTACCATTAGAATTTTTTTGTTTATTAATTCTTTTTTTTTTTTTTTCTTTTAAATATATTATTATTATTACCTTTTTATGTTATTGTAGGTAGCAATGTTGCAATTCAGAAAAATGCAACCCAGTCGGGTATATTTACAGAGAAAGATAGATCCCTTGCATCAAATGCAGTGGATGGAAACAGATTAACTGACTGGAACTATGGGAGCTGTAGCCATACAGACCAATTAGGAGCTTACATTTTGGGTACACATAGTTGGAGCGTGGATTTTTTAATTGTGTATGCAGTTAACAGATACGTTATGTATAACAGGATTGATTCTAAAGGTACACATTTATAGTTTTATAGCATACATTCGAAACTACGATCATACCATTTTAATTACCTAGCTCAAATGCCACATTTCCACAATTGGGAAATGCAATGAAGATAACTAAATTGTCAGCCTGAAGCTTTTATTGGTTTTCAATTAAATGAAGCATGTAAGCTAAGAAAGATTAACAAAGAAGAAACTTATGGCGTAGGAAGTTTGATAACAGTGGCATTGAATTCGATAAAAAAATTGACAAATCAAAATTATGCAAGGGTTGTGAAAAAAATACAATAAAACCAATATCAAATTGCCGTAATATAATTGTTAACACAATCACTGAAACATTTAGGCAATCATCGATTAGTTTCGTAGCGCTAGCGAAACTGTAACAGGTTGCAGATAATATGTTCGGCGACGTTACAATTATTAATACATCGAGCGATTCATCACAAAACAATCTTCTCCGTAACAAAGTTGACTATGTGAAAAAAATTAAGCTGTTTTTTATAGCATTAATGATTGGAAGACAATTAGATGACTTACCTCTGGCCGTCTGTAAGCCATTAGAATTAACCGATAGTCAATTTTAATGTATTTACATAATGTCATAGCAGGAAAATCTAATAAAAGTGTGTAAGATAATCTGTGTAAGTTTATCAACCGAGTTTTCAGTGTTACCCATTAAAAATACAGCGTTCAACGATAAATGTTAAAACATCCCCTCAAATTATTTAATAAAATGGGAAATTCGAACTAGAATGTATTAGAGCAGTGTTTTTTTCTGAAATTTCCCCCCCCCCCGGAGGGGGGGATATTCAGATAATGAAGGGGGGGGGCGTGCAGTGCCAGTGACCACAAATGCATAGCTTAGGGGTTGCGTTGTTTCGGCCACAGGCACGGTGTTTTTTCTTGATGCTTCAGGTGGAACTGGTAAGACATTCCTTATAAACCTCCTGATTGCAAATATCCGAGTGGATGGAAGCATTGCTATAGCTGTGGCTTCATCTGACATCGCTTCCACTATTCTACAGACGAAAGAACTGCTCATTTGGATTTTTGAGCTAGCTCTGAAATTCAGCCATACTGAATCTCCATCTTTGTGTCACATATTTTAAAACAGAGCAGCATGGCTGAAGTGTTCAGACATTGTAGGCTTATTTTCTGGGACGAATCCACTATGGCACACAGAGGGGGTGTTGAGGCTTTAGACAGGACGCTCAAAGATATCCGTAAACCAACACACTAATGGGAGGGTTTGCAATTCTGCTGGCTGGAGACTTCCGGCAAATCCTAACTGTCGTGCGAAGAGGAAAAGGCGCTGACGAAGTTAAAGCATGTGTTAAATCTTCATAGCTTAGTTCTAAAATCCATGTTGTTTCTTTGACATTAAACATGAGGGTTCATTTGAAAGGCAACAACACACAAAAAAAGCCGCTGAGTTCTCTGCTCTTCTGATGATTGTCGGTGATGGCAGCTTCAGTCAAGAAAATTGTAAACTTATTATTCTTTCAAATATATGTCTCCTCATGAGTACCTTTCCAGACTTGCTAAAAGATGTTTACTCCCATCTAAGAAATCGCAAAAAAAAAAAGACGTGTCATCTTTAAGGAAGAGAGATATCCTTTAACCGAGAAATGACGTGACTACAACTATAAACCACATTTTACTTCAAGAACTACCTTCAGAAGCTGAAACATGTCAGTCTATGTATTGAGGTATGGAAGTGGAAAACGCAGTGCATTATCCAGCAGAGTTTCTGAACTCGCTAAATCCTCTTGGCACTCATCAACATAATGTAATTCTGAAAGTGGGGGCACCAATAATGTTACATCAAAACTTACAGCCACCAAAACTTTGTAATGGCACCAGACTTCAAATCAAGTGTCTGCAAAAGAATCTAATCGAGGCAACTATTTTTACTGGCAGTGGCTCAGGGGAGACAGTTTTTTATTCATCGCATCGCCGTTATACCCTCTCATCTACCATTTCAATTCAAGCTCCTCCAATTTGCAGTAAGAGTCTGCTTTGCAATGACAATTAATAAGTGTCAAGGACAGACCATAAACAAAGTTGACATTGATTTGAGGCAAAATCGCTTTTCGCATGGCCAAAAAAAAATACCTTGCATGCTCAAGAGTGAGCTCAGCGCACAACTTGGTCATACTGCAACCGGAGGGTGGAACTGACAACGTGGTTTATAAAGAGACTTCAACATATACATATTAGTAACTTTTCGCTCAATTTATTGTTAATTTCTTACCCTTTTTTCTTAACAAAAGGCTCTTCGCTGCCAAAAGCGGGTATTTTGCTAGTGTAAAAAAAAAATAAAGAAATTTGTGAAAATAAAAGGTGCAATTTGTTCAATTTTTTTTGCTGGCATCCGTCCGTCACAATGTTATGATGGTGTGGACTTCGCAGGAATAGGACAGCAAAGCCTGGGATTCTTCTTGATGGATTATAAGCTTGTTCTCAACAGCAAATCGCCTCTCTCAACGCTGCTGGATAACTCAAGGGAACATCATATGGATTTGTTTGTTCAATTTTCGATATTAAAAAGATTACAGCAGTTGGGAAGTTTAAAAAAATAAATATATGCTTAGTAAATCTGTTATTTAGAAAACTTTGTCACAAAAGAAGCAGAGTTAAAGACTACAAAAACATTTTCCATTAAATAATAATTGATGAAACCTGCAACAGTAATATGCGCCCTTTAAAATCTAATTTCGAAAAGAAAAGAATGATGCCATCACTCAATTTATGCTTAACACCTATCCCTACTTTAAAAGTCATGCTTTTACAATGAAGTATAATTTCCAAACACATTTCACATGTTTAATACTTGACTAATATTTAAATTTGAGGCCTTCATGGGCAAATATATTTATTTTAATACAGTCTCATTAAAGTATTTAAACTTTGGAATTTAAAAAAAAAATCAATCAATAAAAATAGTGATATACAGGAACAACAGGAAGTAAGTCAGGAGTGGCCAGTACAATATTTATAACCAATTACTATAACAAGATTAGCAATAAATATACGGATCCTCAAATATATCAAGCCCATCGATAATTTATAGATTCCACAAATTTGTAATTGGTTAAAGGCACCAGTTACTATGCTATTTTAAACTATTTAAAATTGATATTTTTGTCATTTTCAATCAAACAAATATATGTTTTTATTATAGTGTTGTACGGAGGACACTTTACTTACCCCGGTGTGGGTGCGGGGGAAGGGCAGTACCCTCCCAGAGAGATGGCTGAAAGAAAAACTGAATGAGAGTCTTTTTAAGAAATTAATATGTGAACGATAAAAGTAACATATATTGATTAAGTATTATGGCTACTCCTGAAAATAAAAATACTAAATGACATTACGCTTCTTGCTGTACATAAAGAAGAGATTAAATCAAACAAGCACATGTTTCTTATAAAGTATTGTTGCTGTTGACATAATTCCTTCTTCTAAATACGATGTTTCAGGTCTTCTATAATCTTCCACTATCTCAAGTGGAAGGCTGATTCTAGAGTGTCAGTCTTGTTTGAACTTGCATACGCCTAGACTGATGTTGTCTTTGGCCTTCTGTGTTGCTCTCTTCACTACACCACCTTCGTTTCAAACATTCTCTGCCTTTTCGTGTCTCATATTCAGAAGGCACAATGATCAGTGATGATCGCCGATTCCCAAAATTTGATGTTGACTTCATTCGTGTTCGTTTCGACACATCTTTATAGTATAACTGCAATAATGTAATATGTATTTGTCGTCTCTAGCTACTCATAGCCTAGCAGATATTTCACAATACGGCATTTTCCCATTCTTTTTACATTGCCTAACAAGCCAAAGCGCTTCTTACATGCTGAGTACATGCTTCACATTCGGGTGTGTTCCAGAAACTCGGTGTAAGGATATTAGTTCTGACATGTTGAATTTTTGCTCATGACTGTCGTATGTGATCCACACTTCAATATCCTATAATGTCGTAATGAGACATGTGTCTTGTAGATAATTAATTTTTGTAGCGAGTTTGTTATCATTATTGTATTAGAGTTAATGTAGGTAGAATGACTGCATCCTGTGTTCAGAATTTTGCTGTAAATGCTTGTAATGTATCTTTTTTCTGGATTGACAGTTTTGTAGATCTTAAGAAGCGCTATAGATTATGAAATGTTTAAAGTATTAAGTTTAATTTTAAAAAAAAAAATTATTTGCATACGAGATGTTTAAAATAACTTAATTTTTTTCCCTTTAAAACTATTTCCATTTAACTTTTAGAAACCAATGATTATCGTTGCTGTCCTGAGAGGCTTAAAAACTTCACCATTGAAAGTTATGATTCATCCATGAATCTTGCTTTTAAATATATGCACAAAAGTGATGTGATGGCAATTTATTCGGTTGTCTCAAACACAACAGCGGTAAAAACAATCAATGTTACAAATTATGACATAGCACTTTCAATATGTGAGATGGAAATATACGGGGGTAAGTAATAGATTGTTCTTGAAGTTTTATAAGTAAAAAAAATAATAATAACGATTTCTTTTCTAGTTTTAATGCATATTCTGTATTTATTGGTTGTTAAACATTTTTATATTAGATTGTGTCATATTTTGATTAAAATATAATTAGGCATTTTTGCGGATTTAAGTTTACTCACTCAATAATCTAGGATAAGTGTTGAGATAAACATTTATTAATAACTTGCATAAATAATAATATAACTTTAATTAATTAGCATATTTCAAAAGTGATTTGCTATCAAACATATTTTTTGTAACATTAAAAGAAAAAAGGTGTAAGGTGTAAAGTTATTCTTTTTTAATATATGTTTATTGCCTTACGACTTAATCAATGTGCTATTTTAAAAAAAAAAATATTACACGTGCATTCCTAAACAGCTAAGGTAATTAAACAAAATATAAATCAGGTGTTTGCATTTTGTTAGTTGTATTTAATGAAATACTTATTTACTTTACAGAACGTATATGCCCACAAGGTTTGTATGGTCTTGAATGTAGGCAAAGCTGCAATTGTGCAGATAATGGGAGTTGTCTTTCAAACACTGGAGCATGCCGTGCCGGCTGTAAGGCTGGATTTTTTTGGGAAGGCTGTTCAAAGGGTAAATTGGAAATAGCACTGTTAAAACTAATGAACATTTAAATTATAGAATACAATTATATTTGTACAATATAAATGTCTTTTATGAATTATGCGTTTTAGAAAACAAAGGATTATTTTATATCTTTTTTTATTGTATAAATTCTAATTTTTTTTTTAAACGCATAATGTTTTTAGCCTTGGTTTAGAGAATAAATTAACTTGATTTACATGAGGGGAGTGTTTCCTGAAAAAAAGATAAAACTTGTACATACCTGAGAAACATAATAAATACAATTATTGGACAGATCAGGACATAAACCCAGGGTCCAAAAGGCCGGGGGGAGCATAGAAAGCTCAGAGAAACATCTGGACCTCAAGTGCAATACTGACAACAACAAAGTTAAAAATATTCCAGTCAAATGTAAATGCACATTTCTGTATTGTGCAATTGGATAAAACAAAAAGACATTAAACAAACTACAGTGTTTTATAAACAGATGCTGTCAAAGTATCCTCAAATAAGATGGCAAGACAAAATTTTTGATATTGTCTTTTGGGAAAGAACACTCAGTGTTTCAGTGGACACACAGAAACAGAAGCAAAACTGCTCCTTCAAAAATCAGAATAGCTAAGAAGAAGTAGTAAATTAATATTCTGAAATGATATTTTCGAGTTCCAGAAAATTACTTTTACGATTTTAAAGTATTAGTTTTTCATTTGACACAATTGTTTCTATAAAAAAAAGCATATTATTTGCTTTGGTTGCCATGTCCGTTTGTTTGGGGTGGAATATTACACCTCAATTTTGACCAATTTCCTGATCTTCAAACAAGCCGAAACTTTGTACCCAACCCGATGACAAAACAAGCCTTTATGATCAGTAGGACACCAATGTTATCTTGTGACCCTAGGGCGACCTCTCTTTTAATCACAAGCATGAACAGTCAGTCATAAGACATCGCGTTTGACTCGGTTTTTTCTTTTGCATGGTTACTCTTTCTCCATAATATTTAACAGTGACAACAACATTTTTACGGCATTTAGTTCACCTCTGACCTTTCACAAGTTTGTATTTTACTGGCGCTCAACGCCTTTTTTTTACCAGTATGTTTCAACCCACTTCGTGATCTCCTAGTACATTGACCAAGCGTAAAAAAACAAGAAAAAAACATTGTAAACATACTAATAAAAAATACTTTTTCAATAATAGTATAAAATGTATAACCAAAAATGTCCCCCACAATTTTTGGTTAATCTATTAAAAAAGAAAAGCGTGAGGCATCAATTAACTCAATGTCTTTCCAAATCATAGACATTAACACAGTGATAAGGCTCTTTTCATACAAATGAAACCACTCAGAAGTTTTGGTGGGCGAACTATTTAATAATTATTAAAAAGTTTTTTTTTTTTAAAGCGTGTTTTGCTTTTTTTCTTTTAAAGTGTGACTTTGCTTGCATAGTTAGGGTAAGCTTTATTAAATTTTTGTTTAAAAAAAAAAAAAAATGTTTATTGGCGTTAAACGCATATTGAAATACCTTCCAGTTTATAACATTTCACATGTTCGTATATTGATTTAACATTGACAAGAATAAAAAAAAATTAAAAAAAAAAAAAAAAAATTTTTTTTTTTAAAGCGTGTTTTGCTTTTTTTCTTTTATATTGTGACTTTGCTTGCATAGTTAGGGTAATCTTTATTAAATTTTTGTTTAAAAAAAAAAAAAAATGTTTATTGGCGTTGAACGCATATTGGAATACCTTCCAGTTTATGACATTTCACATGTTCGTATATTGATTTAACATTGCCACGCATAAACGAGATTTAAGACAAGAAAAAAAAAATTCTTACCATAAAACAAAAACAAAATTTTAGAAAGAAAATTTGGCCTTAACATTTAAAGGGATAAACTATAAAAGAAAACAGTAAACATCTCAAATCAATATCACTTTCCCGTTGTTATATTTCTTGAATCTTAGCAAACTGTAAGCCGCATGGAAATTTATTTTTAAAAATTAAATTCTCAAAAAAATTTGTTGAGCATTGAGTTTTTGTAATGCATGATGCCAGCTTCATATTTGAAATTACTTAATAAAGTAAACCGATCTTAAATAAAACAAATAGATTAATGAGTTCCTAGTATTTCAGATATACAAAATAATAAATGTACCAAGTTTGACATTTTTATTAATGTTATTTTCGTAATATTTAGAGTGTGATGACGGAAAATGGGGCATCAGTTGCCGTAGCACGTGCAGTAAAAACTGTTTAGAAACTAACAAATGCAACACAGAAAATGGTCACTGCATTGGTGGATGTCAAGATGGATACATGCAGCCCTTGTGTACAGGTAATAATGAGCTTTTGATTTAAAGATAAACTTATCATTTACCCCTACTTATAATATAATATGAAATATAAAAATAAGTTATCATGTGGATTAGACTTAAGGTTTTATTGTTTTTTTTTTAATATTTTTTATTTTAAACAAGAAAGCAAATCTTGCTTCACATTAAAGATTAAACTTTTTTAGGCTTCACATTAAAGGCTAAACTAATTAGATGTTTTAAATTGCTAAAATTATAAATTTTGTAATCTGGACTAAATAATATTTGATTTAAAATATGAACTTAATGAATTGATATCAAATGTATTCTAGAATGTGAAAGTGGAAGATGGGGTCCCGACTGCAAATCTAATTGTAGCCAAAACTGTCTTCTACCACTGACCTGTGCAGTGGAAAATGGGACTTGTATTGGAGGATGTTCACCGGGTTTTGTATATCCTTTGTGTACTCAAGGTATTTAATTACACTTTGAACACTGAATAGTATAGATAAATACAATAATGACGAAACAATGGGTTGACATTTATATATTGGTACTCACATAAATTTAATAATTACATCCACATATATTCAATGACCTTGAATAGTTTGTAAATTACTTAGAAATCACAAATTAACGTTATCCTTTGCGGAATCAAGAAAGAATGTTAAAATAATATTTCTTTATTGGTGCTACCATTATATCTTTCATCGTACTTTGTTTACAATATATTTTCTTTAACTTATGTGGGGTAAAATCTTAGTTAAAGGATACATATTTCAAGTTTTATTTTTTTAATTATTTATTTTTAAAAAAAATTGTGACTTAGGGAAAGATTTGGGTGCCCACTGTTACGTTTTCTACTGACTATCGGGCTATATGTGTCGGATTTGAAATCGACGGATTACATTTAATTATTATATGATATGATGCTTGAGCTGATCTCATCTCGCATTAAAGGCCAATTTTAATCAGTTGTTTTAAATTGCTAAAATATAAACGTATAAATGTGGACTAAATAATTTTGCTAATAAGCATTAAAGTAAGAATGTAATGTATTAATATCAAATGAATTCTAGAATGTGAAAACGGAAGATGGGGTCCCGAATGCAAGTCTAAATGTAGCGAAACATGTTTTACACCATTCAGGTGTGCAGTGAGGAATGGAACCTGTATTGGAGGATGCTCACCTGGATTTACAAATCCTTTGTGTACTCAAGGTAAGATATGTACAATTTTTGACAAAAATATAATATATTCAACTAAAATAATAACTTAAAAAAGATCGACATTGATTCAAAAATTGTTCATATTTGTGTTCATTGGCCGCGATAACAAAAGTTTCTCTTCTTAATGCATTTCTAAACATGAACATTTGATAAGATCAACAATTTTGATAGAGAAATTACCTAACACAATTTTCGGTTTTTGAGGAAGTTCCTAACTAAACTAGAGGGATACTACGCTATCACCAGTGTAATTTTATTATTATTGATTAAAAAGCAAATACCATTTTAAAATTATAGTAGTATAAGTATTGACTTTAATGGGAGATACTATTTGTTATAAAAACTATTCTACTGTAACAATAACTTAAGTTTGAAGTGTAAAAGAGAGTATGCGAATTTTTATAGTGCTTTGAAATGGATGTCGTTTTTTTTTTTTTTTAGTTAGCCATATTCTGAGTATGAGGAAATAAGCAATGTCCATATATATATATATATATATTAATCACAGAAAAGGAACTACATTGCGTGGTAAAGGGGCATTGGGACAATTTAATATTAATATAGGTAAGAGTTGGGGGAAAATGTGGGATGTTGCAAAAGGTGGTTACCATCCCCGGAATAGTTTTATTTATGTTTATAAAACATTAATAAATAATTAGGTGATGGGGCAGGGATTTTTAAAATGTGTCCCCAAACTGCCCAAAAATGTGTACATTTAACGAGTGTAGTAATATCACAAACTTCAAATAGGTTGAACCCTGTAAATTGGTATTCAGATAGTATTAAAACTAAGGAAATATTGTATTTAACTTTCTATTCTATAACACATTTCAATTGGAGGAAAAAGGATGAGTAAATGTTAATGTGAAAAATGTCAACAGTTTGTTTTTACTAGATTGATGAATCTGTCAAGTTCTTTCACACGTTGTAATTCGCTGTAGTAATATTGAATCCGCTCAGGTCCATTATCACAATAAACGTAATTTTTATATCCAAGTATATGCATAGGCAGTAAATTACATAAACACATGCATATATCGCATCTCGCTATCAGACAGAAATAAGACACATTCTACTTCCACAAAGTTCCATTGACGACTGCAAGACGAATAAAAAGTCACAAAACAGACTAGACCAGCGGTTCTCAACCTGTGGGTCGTGACCCCTTTTCGGGTAGAGTGACCCCTTTGGAGGGGTCGTTTAAGACCATGGGAAAACCCATACCCTACAACTATGAAGCAGAAACGATAATAACTTTGTGGCTAGGCGTTGCCACAACTTCAGTAACAGTGTTAAAGGGTCGTGGCATTAGAAAGGTTGAGAACCACTAGACTAGATAATACTTTACAAGGAGCATACAAATACGTCACCAAGTCAAGCGCGGGAAGAACTTTCACCAACTACTAAAACTCTCAAGCACACACCCTGCGTAATGAAACATAATATTCAATCACAACAATTATTAATTAACTGTTATGCTTGACAGAAAAAAATATATTATGATTTAATATTTCAGTCGTTAAAAAGGCAATAGTTGTTTTCCTCTTCAAATAGACACATACTTAGGAATTAATTAACTAATTAAGGAAAATTTAAGAGGCGTTGACATACCTCAAAACACAGGGTTAAAGAACAAGAATATGGTCATTTTTATAATGGGGGGGGGGGCAATTAAAATTTTCTGGGGGGGGGGGGGGTTTCAAAAGCCAGTTGCCAGAGGCGTAGCTAAAGCAGGCATACTTGGGCATATGGCCCGGAGTGCCATACTAGCGGGGAACTAAATGGGCTTTGATAGCATTTAATGCTTGAAAATAATAATTTTTAGATTTATGGGTGCGTAATAATGAATCATTTCCCTTTAAACCAAACACTGTAGATACGCACCTGCTAGTGGCGTTGAAAGAAGGTGGATGGGGTGGTCCAACGAGTTATCACTTTTTCCTTATATGCTGTTGTGACACTAATAGTATCTGCTTCGCTAGGCAGTGTATCTTTCGATTCCGAAATCGGTGATAATTTTCATCGGTAAGTAGGGCGGAAATTGAGGGCGCTGATCAATCTTGATCGAAGGCGGGGTATTTTTCGAGAATCTTTTTTATTATTTCAAAGTCAAGAGGTGTATTTTTTTGATATATTTGATTTCAATTTTTTTATTTTACCTTTTTTGACGGGGGAGGACATTTTTAAGGTTGTGCAGGATGAATTATGGTGTCCAGTGCATTACATTCACTTAGTCAGTGGCGTGTCCCAGAGTAATCATTTGGGACAAGCTTATAATAAACCACATACTGTAACATTGATCAGTAGGAATGAAGGGGTGCATAAATTTAGCGGCTTTAAAACAGTCGGGCAAACTCAAAATGCAGAGGTGCATTTTGGTGCGTACTTAAATGTGTGTTTCTTTCAGACAATGTTGAAGTTGGATTTCAAACATTCGGATGGGGAGTGCCAAAATTAGCCATAATAATGATCAAATACATCTTCGATTCGGCTCCAGTGAGACGTAAACTAATTCATTCTACTTGTGTCATCTTTGAACTATACACTCAGATACATAAACTTGTAACTAAAATTTGGCAAGAAGAGAAAATTTCAACAGAATGGGAAACAGCATTAATAATAATAAAAAAGTTTATTTGAAAAACACGATTCATCTCCAAAAGCTCGAAGCGCGGTACAAAGTCAACCATATTAAAAAGAGAAATAAAAAACAATCTAAAATTTACCACCTTTATAAAACAGACGCAACAATATAAAACTACATACGAGCATACAAAGTCAAAGTCTTTCACCCCATTTCAACCATAAGCAACATAAGCCAATATAAATTAACTGAAAAAAGATGGTAGATAGCATCACCCAAGAAGGTGTTTGCGAAATTATGTGTTTTTAAATAGGTTTTAAAGGACTCCAGTGTCTAGCTGTTTCTGAGAATGACTGGATGGGCGTTCCAAATTGTTGCGCTGCAAATGCAAAAGTGCGCTTTCCGTAAGTCTCAAAGCGAACACACGGTAATCGATATTTTTCCACTATCGGATGAGCTGAGCTGTCTAGTGGTGCGTCATGAGTGCTTTGAGATAAGACGGCGCCATGTCATATAAGCAGCGATAGCACAAAGTTGCAATTTTGTACTCTATTCGAGCGCGGACCAGCAGCCAGTGCAGCTCCCACAGAAGTGTTTTAGCATAGACAATTTTGCGTTTGCGAAGAAAAATGCGAGCCGCTTTATTCTGTGCTCTTTGAATTTTATCCAGGATCGTAGCTGGGCGACCCACCATGAGAGAATTGCAGCGGTCAATGCGTGATAACACAATGCAGACATCAGCCGATTTGAAGCATCTAACGTTAAGAAAGGTTAATAATTTTGCGCACCTCTAGAAAAATCGCCTTGCAAAGCATGTTAATGTGATTTTCCATAGTTAGTGTTCTGTCTAAGTAGACGCCCAAAGTCTCACACTGTTTGAGACAACTCAATCTGCATACCTGAGAGAGTAAGTGATGTTGTGTTTTTTACATATTTTTGTTTCTGAGCATTTGCAATGGGGATCAGCTCAGTCTTTTCATTATTTAATTTGAGCATGTTTATGGTCATCCAGTGCTTAACTGACTCCACTACCTTCTGTGTCGTGCTAAGAAGCTGAGGTAACTGAGAAGGGATCACGGATTGATGATGTTGTGTATCGTCTGCAAATATGTGTTACAGCATGTAAATTGCTTGATCACTGCCCCCAGTGGCTGAACGTACATAGTGAAAAGCACCAGGCCTAGGACCGAGCCCTGGGGTATTTCCAATTCAATTATAGATTGCTTCGAGGTCAAGCCGTTTGAAATAAATGACTGAACCCAATTTGTCATATACGAGTGAAACCATCTCAGGACGGTAACGGTAAGACCAAACGTTTTTGCAGACGCTGAAGCAGTATGCCGTGGTCAAGCGTATCGAAAGCTATCGATAAATCGAGTAGAGACAAAATGGATACCTGACCCTCATCAGAAGACGACAGAAGGTCGTATATGACACGCAACAGGGCTGTCTCAGTAGAGTGATGCGCCCTGTATGCTAACTGGAAAGGTTCAAACATGTAACATTGAATGAGGTGATCAAGGCGTTGGCGGAGAAGAACTTTTTCTAAGATTTTGGATATAAATGATGGATTTGAGATAAGGCGATGATTTTCCATCACATTTGGGTCAAGATTTTCTTTCTTTAACAGTGGCGTTACTATAGCCTCTTTAAAAGATGATAGAACAATACCAGTTGTCAAGGACTGATTTATGATACGAAAGATGATGGGGACTATTTCTTCCAGGCATTCAACAACAGCCCTGCTGGAAGAGGGTCCATTGAGCATGACTCTCTGGGGTATTAGTCAGGATTTTCCTCACATTCGATTAACTGACCTAAAAAAGTTCACCCATAGGAGAACCGTTGAAGAGTGAGAATTCTTGAGCAGTATCGATGCCACTGTCAAGTTCCGCCCTGATCTTCTTAGCTTTTGTAATAAAGTAGTCATTTAGAGCGTCTGACAGCTCCTCTACAGCAATGTTATTTGACAGAGATGTAGACTAGTTTTTACCGGTCAGCTGACCCACAATGTAAAATAAGTCCTTGCTTCAGCTTCTGTCTATAATATAATGACTAACATACTCAGTTCTAGCTGCAAGGACAAACTTCTTGGTTCGTTCCTTTTGGTCAACAAAGATTTCTCGGTGCCCGACTTCCGCCATTGGCGTTCTGCACGTCGCTTCTTCTGCTTCGCGTCCTTTATTTCCGGCGTGAACAATAGGGCGGAAGGGCGGTCCGTAACTCGCCGTGTGGACAGTTGTGCATGTTTGTCTAAAATTACTCTGAGGCCACTGTTGTAATCTGTAGAAGGGCCATCTTCATAGCGCCTAAGGGCTGCGACGTCACATCTAAAGGCCACTAGATCTATCTGTCGGATGTCACGGGATGTTACTGAGCGCAGAAGGCGTCCTGGCTTCCTCAAGTCAAAGTCGAAGGTGGCTGGGAAGTGATCAGACATAAGTTTGTCCCCAATAATGAGGTTTCAGATCATAGCTTTGCAGTCCTCTCTGACAACCAGCCAATCTAGGTTGTGACCACCGTTCTGTGTCGGGACACTGACAGCTGTGTCATTCCTTTTGTCGAGAGCTGATTTTAGGGTCTTCAAGTAGCTGTCGGTGGTGGAGTCGAAATGGCAGTTTATGTCGCCGATTATAATGACATTGTTGTTGGTGGTGGCGTACATGTCAAGGAGTTGTATAAACTCCATAGTAAACTAACAGATCTTCAACTTATTTTCCCTATTTAGAGGTGGCCTGTATATGCACAGAAACGTCATCGGTTGTTCACCGTAATTAAGTTGCATCTTACACATCGAAATGGCAGTTTATGTCGCCGATTATAATGACATTGTTGTTGGTGGTGGCGTACATGTCAAGGAGTTGTATAAACTCCATAGTAAACTAACAGATCTTCAACTTATTTTCCCTATTTAGAGGTGGCCTGTATATGCACAGAAACGTCATCGGTTGTTCACCGTAATTAAGTTGCATCTTACACATCTCAAATGAAACAAAGTCGTCCGATTTTAAGAAGCCACACTGTTTTTAAGGGAGTTCTTATAAAGAACGGCAATACCCCAAACACTGCGCGACTGCCGTGGGCAAGAGTGAAGGACGAAGTCCGTAGGTGTAATTTCTTGCAGCTTGATCTCATCTCCGACACGTTCAAACCACGTCTCGGTAATGAACACAAGGTCGCCTTGCTCTCCGAAACAAGATCACACAACTCGAATGTCTTATTCCTGCAGGACTGGGATTTGAAATATAGCACTCCGAAATGCCGTGATTGCGGCTTCACAACAGGCTGACAGTCGACAACAACTAAATTTGATCTCGTCACGCCCTGTCTAGGTGGTGTGAAATCATGAGCCACCGGCCGTGCTCTTAGGACTGACACGTAGGGAATGGTCGCAATGGAGGACACATTATGCGGATGATTTCCGTCGTTACTGACAGCCTCGTTTAAAGGCTTTACATGACGATCTCCACAAGCAATAATATTGACATGGCTTTCGCCATGGTGGTATTTCAGTGGACGCTGTTTCCGACGACCTGTCCGATAAAGACGCTTCTTCTTGCGTCGTGCGCCAACTTTCCGTCCACCACTACGATGGGGCAGGCCTCGACCAATGTAGAGTTCTTTCAGTCGATACACCAAATTAGCAGTCAAGAGTATGCGTTTGACATTAATTGACAATAATCTATCGCGTGAGCATATCAGCCGGGATGTGTCGCCAAGCGTATCATTAGCTTGCATGAGCAATGATTCTGATGACAGCTAAGATGGACGACTACGCAAGAAAAACAGGAAACACATATAAAATTGCAATATGATTAATAGCTTGATCATATACATGCCTGTAAGGCGTAGTCTCAAGCTCAAGACAACTTTGACTTCCCCGAAATTGAATTTTGTAATTATGATAATAATTTCACAGCACCTTCTTGATTTGTGTACCATTTCGGTAATCAAAAATTTGAAAGGCCGCCATCTTGTTGCTAGCCGGAAGTAACCCCAAAACACAAGAAAGGCTCCTTATTTAATGTTTCGTCAAAATACTGACAAAGCTGACTGCAAAAAGACTAAAACCTTACACTGAAGAAATACTAGATGGTTAACAATGTGGATTTAGGAACGAACAAGATCCCTCTCCCCCATAGACAACGACGAGGCCATGACAGGCAATTCAGGCTCATACCAGCAAGAAGTCAGTATAGGAGCTGCTCATTCCTGCCCAAGACAATCAGGGACTGGAACCATCTTTCAAAAGGAACAGTTGAGGCGACAACACTAGACACATTTGTGTCTATTGCCTCAAGCCTTCAAACCCCTAGTGCATAATTTCTTCACCACCACCAGTAACAGAAACATTGCAAATCCCATCTACATGCATATGAGCCAAAATGATCAATAAATTGATCGTGGGCCCTTAAGATATAGAAGAAGAAGAAGAAGAAGAGAACAAATGAACGACTGATCAGATTTAGATAAATGTTATGAATATAATATCCCAGTACACCAACTCTATGTGGAATATAAAATGACCTATGACAGCACCAAAAGAAAATATCTGTATGAGATTCTGCCGTAGTTTGGCATACCAACAAACTGACAAGGCTGATACATGTAACATTGAACAACTCAAAAAGAAAAATCAAAGTTCAAGGAGAATATTCAAAGGACTTTCAGATTAGACGAGGCCTTAGACAAGGAGACTCGCTGTCTTGTATGCTATTTAACCTAACATTAGTGAAAGTTATAAGAAGTATACATATGGACACTCGAGGAACAAAAACAGGACACTCTCTGAGGGAAACCCAAGATCCACAAACCAATGCGCACTCTCTACAATCAAACCCTTCAGAATCGTGCATATGCTGATGACACAGTACTGCTAGGGAAAATTATTAAAGACGTATTAAAAACTGTTATTGAATTAGAAGATGCATTAGTACAAGCAGGACTAGAATGAACAACCAAAAATAAAAAGAAAAAAGAAATGACTATGATAAGAAAGAAACAGGCATAATAAGAAACCACACGTTTGAAAAAGTAATTTAATTCAAATTCCTAGTATATTTTTATATGAAAAAAAAAATAATTACTAGCAGAAACAAAAGAAAGAATATCAGCCTGAAACGGCATACTTCAGAAGTCAGAAAGTACTCAAAAGTAAAAACATTACAAGAGAAACAAATAAAACTGTTTATAAAAATGTAATCAGACCATTTGTAACATACGCAAGTAAAACTTGGACCCTAACAAAACAAAAAAAAAGCGGCAGAAAATCTATTAAACACATGGGAGAGAATCGTTCTCAGGAAAATATATGAACCAACAATGGATGAAATGGATGGAGAATACGAACCAACCATGAATTATACAGTCTATATCAGCAATGTATGCACTTTTTTCTCATGTGTTCTAATTTTCAAGGTTCATATTATGATACGTCTTCTTCTTTCAAATCATCGTGCATCATCATTATTTAGTGTTGACCAGCAAATATCACCATCCCTAAACAAGTGAATAAATTTTTGGTTCCACATTTTTAATCTGATTTTGTTTTACAAGTTTACAGTAAGAGTATCCAATCATCCATCCTTTTCAACTTAGTTGATACCCCATTGAAGTTATACCTTGGTTTGGTTCAATCTAAACAATTAAAGTAATAAAATTCATAATTAAATTTTTCCCCTGATTTCTTTATTGAGAATCCAACACTCAAATTGAGGTTCCCATTTAATTTGCTTTCACATTCAAAAACTTGCTTGGCTGGACATTTAACAGTAAGAAAACAAAGCGCACTAGACCATCTTACTATCTCCCCCCCCCCCACCTAAACACCAAAGCATAACTGGACATTTAACACAAATAGCAAACTCCACCTTCGACTGTGCAGTTGCAGATCAACAGGGTGATAAATATCTACATGATAAGTATCCACATTCAAATGTCGTAAACACCTGTATGGACATATTCTAACGATTAAATAAACCACATATTACCGCACACACTGACTCTTGCTGCCTACTTTTACGTATTCCAATAATAAGAAATTTAACGGCATGTTCTCTAACCAAATGATCCTTCTCTGTGAAAGACAATAAGAACTTTTCGATAGAACGTCGATTGATTAAACGTCCATTCAAAACGGGTTTGGCGTTAAAATTCCATATTTTTACTTTTGAAACAAATAACCGGTTGTTGATTATTCTAAAAAGTTAATGGACTTAATTCACCCTTACTTATAATTATTATTTTTGTTAATGACACATTTTAATATTATCATTTATTTTAAAAAAAACAAAACAACAACAAGCAAATGCAATATAGAATAGAAGTATAAAAAGTTAGGCCAATTGCCTCGCGTTTCAGTTTACTATAACAAACGCTAGGTCGGCCAGCTGATGTATATAAACAATGCCATGGAGACTGAAATAAAGCTGGTGGGGTGTTATTATGAATGGAAAAAGCGATTGAGAGACATGGAATGGAATCATAAATCATAGCCGAGTAATATGATATATTTTACACTGCTGTGGGAACACTGAACACGTTTGCGTAGGTACAGATGGCTTTCATAGCAGTCGTTCAATAATAATGCAGACTTAGGAACTTAGCGCTTCACGACTGCTAGCACTAGTACCAAACTGAGCTATGAAAATTAGCGACAATTCTAACAATAGACTTCATCCGCCACCAATAATCTAATAATAGGTCAACTGACAGTGATGTGTAGAAAAGCTGAGAGCATATACCGCAAAGCATTATTGCCGAATAAATTAACATTCCTTTTTAGTGTTATACTCATTTTGCTCCGAGGGGGGGCACTTGACTTTCCCGGGGGGGGGGGGGGGGGCCCCCCTGGTGGTGGGGGGGGGGTGTGGGGGGGGGGGGGGGGGGGGGGGAGTGCCCCCCGGAGAGATGCCTGAAAGAAACCCTGGTTCAGGGGTAAGATATTTCAAATGATACATATTTTTTTTTTAAATTTAATTTCATATTTACATTTTTTTTAAATACTTTCTTCTTTGTAGTTCAGAGAGGGAAAATAATTTCAGTGTGCCTTTATTTTATTTAGGAAAAAATTTCATAAAACACAATTATATTAGAAAAGTAAACAACTAAACATATATTCTTTTTTTTTAAAATTAACGAACATGACATTTAATGTTACCTAAATAGACGTAAACTGGGGTAAAATTTTCGTGTCTTTCATATTTTGCTTTTAAGGATACAATACGCACATACGCCACTCAATTAGATTTTATTTTATGTTGATACATCGCAATATCAGGTAGAGTATAGCGCAATTCGCCTTCGATTATAAACTCGGTAACACCGGAAAATATTGTTTATTATAGTATATATATATATATATATANTATATATATATATATATATATATATATATATATATATATATATATATTAATTTGGTAGCCACATATAATTTAAAATAGTGTCCAAAAATTCAACTACCTTGCATTTTGCGTAAGTCTGCCATAAACCATAAACTATCGTTTAATTTGGCGGATTCAGTAAATGATTATATTTCATTATTGTTACAAATATGCTGTACACATTACATACTCCAAGTTTATTGGTTTACCCTTTTTCTAAAAGTTTCTTGATATGATATTGCTTTACACTATTTTATATGCTAAATATTCCAAGGTCTTGCTGCGGGAGTTCTTGTTTGCGGACGATGCCGCTTTGGTATCTCACACAGCTTACGGCCTCCAGAGCCTCGTATCCAGCCTATCCGCTGCCTGCAAAGAGTTTGACCTGACAATTAGCCTAAAGAAAAGTAACATTATGGCACAGGGCGCTGACGCCCTCCCCACTATCGCTATCGACAACTACGACTTGGATACTGTTGACAGATTCACATATCTGGGATCCAACATATCGAGCACCCTCTCAATGGAGGATGAGATAAGTGGAAGGATAGGGAAGGCCGCAACTATTATGGCCAGACTGAAGAAAAGAGTCTGGTCAAACGCCAAACTAACAACAAGAATTAAGCTGCAGGTGTACCAGGCATGCGTACTGAGCACACTAGTCTAAGGATGCGAGTCGTGGACCACATACTCTAACCACGAAAGAATGCTCAATGGCTTCCACCACAGATGCCTGTGCCACATCCTTGACATTAAATGGCAAGACAAAGTCCCCAACAAGGATGTCCTGTCCAGATTAAACATGTGTAGCGTCTCAGCCATGTTAATCCAAAGACGCCACAGCTGGCTTGGACACGTCAAACGAATGCAACCTGGTCGCATACCAAAGGACGTGTTATACAGCGAGCTGGCGACAGGAAAAAGGTCAGTTGGACGGCCTCGTTTGAGATACTTAGACTTATGAAAAAGAGACATGAAGTCGGCCAACATCGACATCTCAAACTGGGAGGACCTGGCAGAGGATCGATCCTCATGGCGGGACATCCTTAAAGGCAGGATCACTACATGCCGAGGATCAAAACAGGGCGGAAACAGCTGGGAAAAGAGCGAGGAGGAAGGCCGGTAAATACTGCTCCACCGCATTCGTGTGTGGGAAATGTAACAGAGACTGCCATTCGAGGATTGGTCTCACCAGCCACACCAAGAGCTTCAAGAAATAAAGATAATCTATCGTCTCCCGCAGACCGAAAGATGCCATACAATACCATACCATTATTTTGGTTGTTTTTCTTGAAAAAATTAAGTGGGTCTAAAATAAAAAAAGTAATATGAATTAATTAATGTAATTAATTTCTATCAGGCTATATGTGACGTATGTTTACACTAAATATTATATTTGATTTTTATATGATATTATTAGTTCGTGTAAATAAAATTGAAATATACTTCTTCCTCAATATGGTATTATTAATAATTATAATTTGGAATACTTCAAAAAGATCAATATAAAGACATAACACAAATAGAATTCTCCTTTAAGAATGTCCGACCTGTCAATGGGGTCCCGGTTTTTAGTTTACGAGTAGTGACCACTTTCTTACATCTAACTCGTGTGATACAAGAAATGGGAGTTGCATGGGATGATGCAAACCAGGCTATCTATTACCTCTCTGTACACATTTATCTGGTCATTTTGTAAAGAAAAGTACAGAAAAGTGTTTATATGTTACATAATTTTAATAATTAATGTCAGAAAAGATTCTTTTATTGATACAAATAAATGGATTTTTATTTTAACATACATATTGATTTGAAGAATAGCTATGCATATTCGTACAAAAACATACATTTTTTTAACTAAGAAATGAAACATGTAAAGTATTTGTCAATAGAAAAAATCTGCAGTCTTATTTCTTTTTACTTACTCAAATAGAGAATAATTGTCTTTTTAGAGTGATTATTTAGATTTTGTAACACTAAGCACTTGATACATTATGAAAGTTTGGAGAGCAAATGGTCTTTAAATTGTTGGTCTTGACTTTCAAATAAAGAATTCGATCTGAGCGTTCTGACCTTAGCAATCTTTTTGAAAGAGCTTGGGATGTGCCCCACAATTTTGTATTTATTTCAGTTTTACAACTTCATATTGCTTCGAATAGTTATTGAAGCGAAGGTCGATTTCTTTTAGCGATGTTATTTGCTTTCTTAACATAACTTTTTAATCCGCGTTTGGTGAGAATCGATGCATTCCGACACCATAATGTAGCACTTAAGTTCAACTCATGCACTGTAGAATACTCATTCATGGACATTGTAATATAATGAGGATTATAATCACGTTTTTTTAAAATATGTATTTATTTATCAGCTTGCCCCACCGGTACATTTGGTTACAATTGTAAAGACTCATGTCCAGATAACTGTTTGTATAATGATTGTAATGAAGACAACAAAACTTGCACCTTTGGATGTGTTGATAGATATAGAGGAGATACCTGTAAAGAAGGTAAATTCCCAAACTACCTGATTCTTTAACTTGATTAATTTAAATGAAATATTAATTAAAATAGAAAAAGCTTGTCACATTTATTTTAAGGATGTATATACCATAATCTGTAAAAGAAACGTTTTACATAAATTAGCAACACTTTGTAACTTTATAAACACCATTCACAATTCCTTATTAAGTCAGCTGCACTAACATTTGAACTATTTACAAATGTAAAAAAAAAAACGCATTTAGCCAATCTACTATTATTCCAAATAGCACTAATCAAAGATACAAGTACAGGACAGGATACTCCATTAGTTGTCATAATAGCACCAGTGATAGCAGGCGTTGTGCTAGTATCTGTGATTATTGTTGGATTTGTTTTTAGGCGGTGAGTAACTCTTGATATAAACCAAATGATATAAAAAAAAAATTTTAGAAAGAAATAAATGTTGTCTAACTACATAACAATTGATTATATTTACTAGTAGTTGTAGAGAGGTAAAAAGAACGTAACGTGATTATTTGAGTAGCCCTTAGTGTTCAATTAATGGTAAAATGGTGTCTGACAGAACTGCACATTACAGTATACGATAGTGTCAGTCTTTTCAAGTGCCCTTTAGTATATGTGCCATAGTAAAAGGAAGTTTTAACTTACTGCTCTGTTATTTACAGAAAAAGAAAGAGGCACCCCACTCCAAAGAAAGGAGACGATGTACACACACGGCGGCCAAATCAATCAATAACAGTTGATGTCATCAACGACAGCAGTGTGACAGAAACAGGTAGTTAGCATTGCGTGTACTTTTTAGCTTAAGTGGTTTTTAAATACTATGTTATATTTAATGCAATTTTTTGTCATTTGTCTAAAGTAAATCCACAATCAAATAAAATTATTCCATATTCCACTTACCACATTTCGTGACCTAAATATTTTGGATGGGGCTTAGAGAAAATAGTTGTCTTATTTTCAACGCTTATAGCACGTAATACTTAAGTAAATGAAATGCTGGCATCCGTCCGTCACAATGTGACGATGGAGTGGGCTTAGGAGGACGAAATCCACATGGCCTGGATTATACTTGAAGGATTATAAGCTGGTTCCCAACAGCAAATTGTCTCTCTCCACGCCGCTGGATAACCCATTGGATGATACAGCTTGGCACCAGTGACGTCGCAGGAGTTGCCGGAATGTTTCATTATATCAATGTTATCCGCCTTTCAGGACTCAACCTCCGGGTTTGACTTCAGAGTTTCCTTCTCTTAGATGAGTTGCCATCCAAGGCTAACGAGTCCCATCCACACTGGGCTCTTGCTGGAATTGAACTCCAGACCACCAACTTGAGATAAGCTCAGTTTAGTCCACTTGGCCACCCAGCATACTATTTAGCATTCATTATGTAACATTGCAACTACTTGAGGTGGATTATTATACAAAGAAATTAGAAGCTGTTGCAGACGAGAAAAGAAAACACTGGTAGTAATGGTTAATACATATACTTAATTTCATGAATAACAAATAATACTTAATATCATATAAGTTGCTTCAACACTTTCTAGCAATCCTAGGCTTAAGAGAATTTTATTTTTGAAATGCGTATCAACTCTTTTTTTTTTTGTCCAATAAATGTTGTTAACAGCACAAACTCCAGCTTCTGCTGATATTAGCAAAATCAACACGTTTATAAGGATCATGGATTTGAACACTTTTTTGAAAACCCATAACAAGCAGTTCTTTGTCAAACAGTTTGAGGTACGCTTGTTTCACTCACTAAAATACATTTATCAAAGAATAGACAAAAACACAAAAACACATACACAAGGACTCATACATATTCATATAGACATACAGAGAAAAGAAAGTATGAGAGGCGTGTTTATCATAAAGCAAAACTTTGTGATTGAATGCATAAATCGATCTATTAAGAGATAATGGATATCGTTCAATCCATGTATTTTTCCATGCATATAGTAACATATAGAAGACAACAATAGGAAGTAGGAAATAACCATTTTTCAGACAAATATTTTATTTATGTAAAATGATATATTTTGTTGTATTTTCTACAAAGAGGGTTTAACATAATTGCAGAGTGTTCCTGTACCTCAAAATGTGACCACTGAAGTTGGACTGAACAATTTAAACCGAAACAAAAACAGATACAAAGACATCGTGCCATGTAAGATATAAATATAATGTTACAGCACACCATCTAATGCACGTTGCATATGCATTTATTTTTCCTTGTTGAGTTTAGTCAAACTTTTTTTTTTTTAAAATTGTGAGCCCCTTATTGTTTGGTTTTTATTTTTTATTTTTTTAAATTATTTTATTTTTGTGGAGTGGTTCACTAACGTCCTAATTAATATGGATCCCACTATAATAAGGGGACATCATTTTATAACAAATAACAAAGTTAAAGAAATGTTTATTTTTCTTCTTTTCATCACACAGTACCAAAAATAAATTTTTTTTAAAATTAAATCCCTCTTCAACATCAAACTGATGCTTAAAAAAGTTTGTTATTCTTTGTTTGTGTGGGATTTGTTGGTAGTTTTTTTCAAGCAGAACCTAAAACCATTCTATAAATTACAATTCTTGATGATACGCGTCAGCATGTGAAATTTGAGCCACTTCAGCATTTATGCAAATATTTAATTTTTTTTTTTTAAAGAAGCATTTCTTTTTAAAAAATGTGTTTGAATCCTTACTTGATTCGACAGAATTGTCAACTTGAGGGATTAAATATTACATTGTCCTTCGTAAACTGTCATTATTTCAAATTTAATTTGCAGTTGATTCATTTAGTGTATTTATTCTTAATGGTTAATTCTTTGGCATGCGAACTTCTCGCGGGTGTACAATTTTTGGACGCCTCTGTTGAAACTCGTAAGCCTGTTGAAACTGTTTTGAGGTGGATTAGCTGTTTCACGGAACCTGGTAATCCCAAGAAAACGTTAAATAATGAATTCAGTTTTAAATCTAAGGCGGGGGAAATAGTGAAAATAGTTTTAATTTAAGTACAACTTCATACGTGTCTCCGTATTTTCCCGTAGCTACCCTGTCCCCATAGATTGTTAACGTTCAAGTTTTAATTTGGATATTTTCTTGCCATAGATTTGCAAACATTCGATGTAGACGATTAACATTTTGTTACGAGCCGGGATTTAATTTTAAAGATTTTAATCGATTGAAGTTCCACCGAATAACTCATATTATCGGATGTGCCATTATGCTCATTTTAGAGCCATTTGTGTCATTTATTCAATCATTCTCCTCATTGAGAATAAACATAATTTGTCAAATGTCTTCAGAACTGGCACTATTTTATTTTCTATCGTACTATCTTTGATGTTGATAAACTATTTTTTTTTTTAAAATTTCGAATGTGTATGTTAATACGCTATATAACTACACATTAAAACATATATGTTAGTTAGTAGAGGATTACCCTAAATTTGTTTGTTTGTCTTGAAATAATACGAAATGTAGTAGTTTTAAAATCAGTTATATATATATATATTTTTTTTTAATTAACTGAATTTCTTTAGTTAAGTATTAAAAAGTTTATAAAATTATATTTTTTAATAATTTTCTTTGTTATTTTGAAGAAAAAAAATATGTTTAATATTACATCGTTTTTTCAGATGACCACTCGCGTGTCCATCTAGAGATTAACACAGATGATAATGAAGGAGATTATATCAACGCGTCCTATGTTGAGGTCAGCTATAAACCGCTTCTTGAGATGGTATATATACACCATAGCAGTATCTAACAGATGCCATCTTTTCTTGTTTATATGTGAACTTTTAATTTTGCACACAAAAACAGCTCACAATGTTTTCTTTTTACAGGGCTATACAAAAGCAGAGAAATTCATAGCTTCTCAAGGTATAACCTTTATATTAAACAATTGTTTTTCCTTAATTGTTTAATGTTTGTTGTAATTTAATATTTTGAAATTATATCACTGTATGGGCTGGTTGTAAGAATGTAATCATTTTTTAAACGTTTCTTTCTTTGAATATATTGTAACTTCAATCATTAGTTATTGAAGTTAAAATTTTACAAGTATAATCTTTCTATCAAGGTCCAAACATAGCAATGGTTAACGACTTCATTCGAATGTTATGGGAACAACAAGTTGACAAAGTTGTGATGCTTACAAACTTGATAGAGCATGCGAAGGTAAACATATTGTTTTAATTTATATTACTTTGATAAAATAAGGAATTCTTTTTTATATGTATTTCATTTTAATAAAAAAACGTATTGCTAAAAAAAAGACTAAATTTACAAATAGTTGAACTATTTCTCAGGCAAAATGTGAAAGATACTGGCCAGACGAAGGTGAGAAGGAGTTTGGTGGTATCAGAGTCAAGTTGTCAACGACCCAAGTCTGCGCTGAATACACTATCAGAAGACTTGAACTCAGAAAGGTAAAGAATGTCAGAGCCGTCACTTGACTTTTGGTAGGACACCGTCTTATTTCTGAATTTATTATTTAGCACTTCAAATCAATTAAACCATATGTTATTTTTTGCCGTCCATGCAGTGACAGGGATTCACAGCTATGAAACAGCATTTTTATCAAAGCACAATCAATCGTATCAACTCATTGATGGCATACCTCTCAATTGTTAGATACAAATCGTATAAGTATTAGGAAGTCAGTTTAAAAATGTTGCGAAGAAACAAATAAACAGAAATTCCATTTGTTGTTGTTGTTTTTTAGTTTCACAAATTAAGTTACGTTTTATAATATATATTTTATTTAAATCTTTACAGTTTTATTCATGGCTAAAATTTTTGAGTTATTCTGTTGTTTTGTTTTTCTTTTGGTCTATTTGAATTTTATATTATATGCTGATTATGAAAATACTTCGCAACATGTTTGAAGTTATAAAGAAATATGATCTTCAAGGTAAAACTAAAACAATTAAAATACATTTTGATAAATCAATGATTAATCAGGAGACTCGATATTAAAAGCTAAATTACAACAATAGCATACATAGTAAGTAATGTGTTAATTGGATGTTAAAAGTACTATGCTTGCAAAATAGAGACTGTCTACCACATCAAATACATTAATATTATTCTATTTTCAAAATTATTTAATTTCGTTTTGTTTCACACAGATACATTTTTAAAAAATGTTTTTAGTTTTTTGTAAACACACTGAAACATGAAAATGTGTATAATGGTGCATTATATTATATCTAATCATAATATATTGTGCTTCTTTTATAATTAACAGAGCAATGAACAGGTACAACATGCTACGCAGTTCCACTTCACCTCTTGGCCCGATACAGGAGTTCCTAAAACACCATGGAGTCTGGTAGATTTTGAGCAGAGAGTAGCAGCTGAGCCGACTGAGAAACCAATTGTTGTTCACTGCAGGTGTGTATCGAATTCTTATCCAAAGACCTTTTTTGTTTGGTCATTAAAAAATGAACTCACCAAGGAATGAGAAAAAAAAAGAATCGATCAATACCTTTTAAATGTATTAAAATTTCGAAAAATATTTTATAATTTTAGAAAAATGTTAAGAATCTTAATAAAATACCTTACTTGTTAAAAAAATTCATATCTAACTAAATGATCAAATATATTTTCTTTGAATGGATTTATTCGTTTTCATATTATATTTAATACATAATTTGTATTAAATAAATATAAAATTATTGTTTTAGATTTTAGCGTATCGAAACTCGAAATTCGCTAAGAGTAACTTGAATTTAAAAAAAAATAAAATAATATATAAATAAAAATAACATAAAACTACTAGACCATCTCCGTTAAAAGGTTGCAAATATGCTGTGACAGTATATATGACTGATGATTATTGGTGCGTGTATTGAGAGAATTTGTGACGTGATTGCCATGTGTTGTTATCGTGTTGTATGACTGGACGTGGTGAGTTGTTTTCATGAATGTTCAAACATAATGGTGTGCATATTGGTTGGAGAACTGGAGGGAGTAAGGTATGCAAAGGAATGAGAATGAGAAGTTAAAAAAAGTTGTTACAAGGAACACAGACAACATCATACTTTACTTGTGTAAAAACATTAAAAAAGGGACGCTACTGAATATCTCAGCATCCAACTCTTTTCCAAATGTTTTCTCTCTTGTTTAAAAAAAAGGCAATTGTATCCAAGAAGGCGTTTTATTGGATCATTAAATACTCTAATAATGCATTGGTTACCAAATTGTTGCCTCCTTTAGCATTATTTCCAGACATACAGATGTTTGACATTTTGTTATTTAAAATGCTTAGTTAAATCTCTCGACGTTTCTACTGTAATATTAGCAGAGGTTCTTACTGTTAATAAACTTGTATTTAAAATAACATTAGTATACATTAATTCGGATATACGCAAAGCGTTTTTTGTGCTTAGTTTATTCTCTTCATTGCAATATTAAATGTTAGGCCTACATTGTGTATGGGTTTTCATTTTCGTCTTGATTGTTGTATTCGATTTATATATATATATATATATATATATATATATATATATATATATATATATATATAAATATAACAAATAATACATAAAACATATACTTTATTGTATAATAAACACATTATATATATATATATATATATATATATATATATATATATATATATATATATATATATATATATATATATATATATATATATATATATATATATATATAAATATAACAATTACAACATAAAACAGATACATTATTGTGACGTAAAAACACACTTGTTTTAATTAAAGAAATATTAGCAATAACTGAATAAAAAGCTTCATTCATGGCAATTAGCAAAGATATTTTTTCGCAATTTTAATTTTGTTCCTTTTAGTTTTCTTATTTTAATTATCGTATAAAAACGATCATTATTATTTCAGTGCTGGAGTGGGAAGGACAGGTACATTTATAGCACTATGTAATGTGATGTCCCAGGCCAAAGACACAGGTGGTATGGACTTTTTCCAAACACTTGTCAAACTACGCAATGACAGAATGCTAATGATTCAGACAGAAGTTAGTATTTAAATGTTGTAGTTTTTTTTCAGCTTTTTAAAATTTTTCATTATTACATTCTTTGCTTGTCTGCACTGGCATAACTAGTAATTAAAACAGATTGATTGTACTCAGCGTCATGTTGAATTGATTTTCTTGCTCTTCTACCTTATAATGAATTGCAATGGTTTGGTTTTCAAGAAACACATTTTCCTGTTTCAATCCACACAGGAACAATACGAATTCTTACACAGAGCAGCTCAAGTGGCTTTGCTGTGTCTGGGAACTACTGTTACTGCAGCTAATATCATAGAGAGAGTAAAAGTATTGGACAAAGAATGTTACCGGACGATCTAACATGGACAAAGAATTTGAGGTTACGAAACACTTTGGAATTTTAAATCGGACTTTTAAAAAAAATTAACATTTCTAAAACTATTTTATGTTAATTTTATTTGTTGATACAGAAACATTAAATGACATAATCAGCTTTTTAAGTGAGATGAAAATAAAATTAAAATAAAATTTTAATATTTTTACGAACAATTCTTACTAAAGAGAATTCGTTTATTCAAATATTTCAATTTCTTAATATTTCTTCTTACTAGGCTGTCTGCGATCTTAGTGCTAATATTAATGAGAGTATTGTGGCAGAGGAAGTACGTAACGAGAAGAATGGTATTTATCTGAACACTTCAACTCTAGGTCAAAGGTCACATAACAGATTCCCAGAAATCATTCCACGTAAGAGATTTCTCTGCTTTTTTCAAAACATTATGATTATTATTTTTTAATTCACTCAATATTCAGCTGTTCAATTATATACGATTTACTTTGTATTGGTGTGAGAGTGGCATCTCATGCATACACGTATTTAATTACATTAAAATTGTAATAATTACAGTTAGATAAATATGTATACTTATTGTAGAAAGAACTACATCATATTATCCTCTTTTCCAGCTAATGCTTACAGGACTAGATTAGCCAAAGAAAACAAAGATATGGAAGAGTACATCAACGCCATACTACTACCGGTATTCACATAAAGTTTTAATCTCTTAAATTGTGTTTGGTAGGAGAAAAATTCTAACATAATTAATATAATAATTTGATGAAATGACTTTAATATGAAACAAAGTGTACGTTAAAGTTAGGGGATTGCCAGAAAAAAACGAAAAAAAACACAAAAAAAACAATGTTATTAGATAAAAGAAGTCTCCTTATGGACATCATGACCAAATCATACAACAACGTTTTCGGCTAAAAGGCATCCTCTTAAAGTCATCATGGCGTTTAACCAAACCACTCAACAAGCTCATAAGCTAAAAGGCATATTCTTGAAGGTATCATAGCGAAACATGTGTAACTGACAAGTTTAAACATCTACATTGATTTCTCCTCAAAAATCTTCGTCAGTCTGGCAATGTGGATGGACATCAATAAGTTGAGATACAGAAATAGAGTCTTTTGGATGTGAAGAAGAGTAAAGCAGGTTGCATTATTATAACTGTTGGCGTTAAAGATTAATGTCAAAGATAGACTCTTATTCAATGTGGAAACTTTTTTTATAAAATTTTTTTTTTTTTTTTTTTTTTTTTTGTTGTTTTTTTTGTTTTTTAATTTGAAGCTAAAATTAATTTTAAAAAGTAGCAGTGACAACCGTTTCGTGCTCTTATATTGTTTTAATTGACGAAACATTTTCCATTGTTTCTGCTGCATCAAATATTTCTTCTTCTTCTTTATTTTGAGGGCCCACGATCAATGTATTGACCATTCTGGCTACTATGCTTCTTCTGCATGAATACCGTGGGCTCTGTTACTTCAGATCACAACTCTCCCTCTCTAAGTTATATCAAGTATTTTTTCTCTTAAATTTAATTTTCCTACATTTCCTTACAAAAAGTGCTATATGAGCCGTTGTTTTTTTAAAACTTTATTCATAAACAATTTTGTATATGGTTTTTTTTTTACTTTTAAGAGTTTTCAAAAACAAAACCAGCAAATTGTGACGCAGCTTCCACTGCCTACAACTGTTGTAGATTTTTGGCGTCTGGTGACTCAGTATAACGTCTCCCTTGTTATAGCATTTGAAGGAGTAGGCCTTACTGAAGACCAGGTGATGAAACAAAAAAAGTCTGCTACTTTTTATTTCTATTTTTTTTCTTCATTTTTTAAAGAAAATATAATAATTTTTAATGGAATAATTTTAATTTCCATCACTTTTAATGTGAATTTATATTACAGTACGAAACTCAGTTTTAATGTTCTATAATCAGTTTTAGTATATAGCAAAGTATTTCAGAGTCATGTTTGATTATCTGTCCTATATTTCATTAGGGTTTTGAAAAAAATTTTGAATTTCAAGTTTTTAAAGTTTGTCTAACTTTTTCTTCTTTCCACACTACAAGACTTTAGCACAGTATCTACCTAAAAGCGTGTATGAACAATTGCCCTGTGCACCGTTTGAAATCCACACTGAGCCCCTGATGTCCGAAAGTTTTGGAGAAGAACAGATAATTACAGTACACCTTACCAAAAAGTCAAAGACAGTGAGGAATATTTAAATTATAAGTTAATTATGTTTCTTATTTTAAATACTTTATATTAACTTCATTTATGTCTGTCTCTTTTGGAAAACTTTTCGGAAGGAAAAGTTAAAAACATTCCCGTCGTTCTATCAGGCTGAAAATTGTCACATTAACTCGTTGTGAATTACAACATATTCTATATAATTTTCAGCCCCACCTAAACCCCAAAATATCAGGGGGTTTTTTCTTCTGTTTTTCAAAATATTTTTTGTTGCCGAAAATTCAAGAAAGGTAATACAGTTTAATCCCTATCAAACGTGTGTTTTTTTTCTCGGTTATATTCTCTCAACAAAAGTCACTGATGCGAAAAAATAAAATTTGAATGAAAAAAAAGGAAATATTAAACGTGTTATCACCATAACCGCTTCTTAATAAGTTATAAATCACGCAAAGTTACATAAATGCACACAAAATGCCCATAATGTATTTTTTCTTTGTTTTAAATGGTTATTATTATTGTTTTTCTTAAAAATTATTTGATAATTCACTCAGAAATCATTGGCCGACTTGCCTTTGACACCAATGCGAAGAAAAATCCTCCTCTGTCTTGGCAAATATTAATGTTGGATCTGCCTAAGTAGCTAAATAATTAACAGCATACTTTTCTAAATATCGACTCCAGCTACGTTCATGTTGTTTGTGGTTTTGTTTTTCCTTGTCGGTAAATCTAAGTTTTATCTTGGTAAGTAAGCCTCGTGCATTTCTAAATATGCGATCAAGGCATCTCACTTAAGCAGACTGCATAATTTGTCCGATAGCTGCACTGCCCCATCGGTGACTCGATTCTTAATTTTATATTAGCTTTTCTAAAGTAATCCACGAGTGATTCTAAGCATTCACATTTTACCATTTCCAACTTACTTCCTGGTACGCCAAACATTTTCCAACAATTTGGTACATGGAGAAGAAGATTAAAGACTAAAGCCTATGGCCTCCTTGTACGTGCCAAGCCTGAACTCCATTCATCTATAAATATTTCAGTATCCTGGTTTGCTTTGCTGACCTTAATAAAATTAGTGCCCTCACTGTCCCATTTGATCCCCTCTGTTTGTGTACTTCGACTCAATGGTGTCCTTGAGTAAGACCCCCCCCCCCTTCTCTCAATTATTCATGACTTTTCTGGCATGATTTCGCCCTTGCGGTTCATAAGTAGTCGATTGTACTGAGATTTTAAGTTTGCGACTCTATATTACCTAGTCTTCGAGTTACTTTCCCGAAATCACTCGTAGGTCGTCAGCGAAAGTTATGTTTCTCACATTGGTCAGGTCGATACCTCGTGTATTTCTTGCCTATTCTCTAATCAATAATGTTAACATAACCTTCTTTGAAGTGCCACTTATTAAAATTCTTATATTTAAGCATGTTTAGACTTCGGTCAAATCTTTCAATGAACTTTACACATTTGTTATCAAGCATAACAGTAAAGGAAAATAATTGGAAATATTATTTATATATTTGTTCTTTTTACCCTAGATCTGAATAAGATAGATCGCATGTTCTAATTGAACATGTTTAAGGAATATATAGCACTGAAGAAAAAGTTGAATAATTTTTATTTTTAAAAATAGAAAATTCAACAATTTTAAAGTATTTTCGTTGTGTAATTAGTTTACCTTTTTAAAAATTGTAAATTATTTTATAAATGAAAGTACGAGTTTTTCATACTAACTAACTATTTTGCTCGACAGAAAATCCTTGATGGTCACATTCTGAAACACATAAGATATAATTTAAATGACTTAACACCCGAAAATCTGCTAAACTTTATCAAAAAGATTCAAGTTTGTGCATACCAAAAAGAAGGAGTAGTCCTATACATGTGCAGGTAGTTTATATTAGGAAGTAAATAGTTTTCATTAAGCAACAATAAAATATTTTTTGAACTAACATGTAGTTTTACATACGCTTATAGAAAGGAGGTGCATTCTACTATATTCCTGAAATTATGTGAGCACGCTTTTCTTTATTACTTAGGTCTCAATTCAATTGAGTGCTTACATGAAATTATCTCAACATAACACATTTAACATAATTAGTATTCGTCACACATGATATTTGTTTAAAACTACGAGTTCATTGTTTCACCAGATTAGTCTACGATGTAATCTACTTGTTCATTGTTTCACTCAGTTAATCTATGCTGTGATATATTTGTTCATTGTTTCACTCTGTTAATCTATGCTGCAATCTACTTGCTAAGTGTTCCACAAAATTACATTTTGCTTCAATTTGCATCCTCTTTATTTCACCCATTTACTCTCAACCCCGAAGCTATTGCACTTTGTTCTTTTTATTCTACATCCTCTTTCTCAAACCGCCTAATTTGGACTTGACTAGCATATTTATGTTCCGCGAAGCAATAGAGACCGGATGAATTATGAATACTTCTAGCTACATCTCGCCTGAGGCTAGTTGACTATAGTAAAGTATCCCCAATACAAAACTTAAATGTGTGATCGCGCGTTGCCTGGTGCGTAACAGTAACATCACATCGACTAAAATAACACGTGGCCTGGTGCCTAACAGTAAAATTACTGGTACACCAGAAAACTTGGTTGGTGCGCTTCTATAGTAAAAGTTTAACTCATCAGAGCGTGCTGTCAAAGTGCTGTTCTCCAGCTCTAGACCAGATAGTTGACGTCAACCTAATTTGTTTATCCATTCTGGGATCAAACGGAGATAGACCACCCCCCTCTCCACTTTCCCGAT